GGAGGCTGATGTGGATGCTATATCTGAAGGAACGGTACTGGTGGCTGACAATGCAGAGTTGGGCTGATGTGGATGCTATATCTGGGGAACGGTACTAGTGGCTGACAATGCAGGAGTGGAGGCTGATGTCGATGCTATATCTGAAGGAACGGTAATAGTGGCTGACAATGCAGGAGTGGAGGCTGATGTGGATGCTATATCTAAGGGAACGGTACTAGTGGCTGTCATTGCAAGGGTGGAGGCTGATGTCTATGGTATATCTGAAGGAAACTAGTGGCTGACATTTGCAGGAGTGGGCTGATGTCGACTATTTGAAGGAACGGTACTAGTGGCTGGGCTGACATTGGAGGCTGATGTGGATGCTATATCTGTATATCTGAAGGAACGGTACTAGTGGCTGACATTGCAGGAGTGGAGGCTGATGTCGATGCTATATATGAAGGAACGGTATAGTGGCTGACATTGAAGGAGTGGAGGCTGATGTGGATGCTATATCTGAAGGTACGGTACTAGTGGCTGACATTGAAGGAGTGGAGGCTGATGTGGATGCTATATCTGAAGGAACGTTACTAGTGGCTGACATTTGCAGGGAGTGGTGGCTGATGTCGATGCTATATCTGAAGGAACAGTACTAGTGGCTGACAATGCAGGAGTGGAGGCTGATGTGGATGCTATATCTGAAGGAACGGTAATGGTGGCTGACAATGCAGGGTGGAGGCTGATGTGGATTTTATCTGAAGGAACGGTACTAGTGGCTGACATTTGCAAGGGGCTGATGTCGATGCTATATCTGAAGGAACGGTACTAGTGGCTGACATTGCAGGAGTGGTGGCTGATGTCGATGCTATATCTGAAGGAACGGTACTAGTGGCTGACATTGCAGGAGTGGAGGCTGATGTGGATACTATATCTGAAGGAACGGTACTAGTGGCTGACAATTTTGGAGTGGAGGCTGATGTGGATGCTATATCTGAAGGAACGGTACTAGTGGCTGACATTGAAGGATTGGAGGCTGATGTGGATGCTATATCTGAAGGAACGGTACTAGTGGCTGACATTGCAGGAGTGGAGGGCTGATGTGGATGCTATATCTGAAGGAACGGTACTAGTGGCTGACATACTAGTGGAGGCTGATGTCGATGCTATATCTGAAGGAACAGTACTAGTAGTGACATTGAAGGAGTGGGCTGATGTGGATGCTATATATCTGAAGGAACGGTACTAGTGGCTGACATTGCAGGGGTGGAGGCTGATGTGGATGCTATATCTGAAGGAACGGTACTAGTGGCTGACATTGCAATGCTGGATTGGGCTGATGTCGATGGTATATCTGAAGGAACGGTACTGAAGTGGCTGACAATGCAGGATTGGAGGCTGATGTGGATGCTATATCTGAAGGAACGGTACTAGTGGCTGACAATGCAGGATGGGAGGCTGATGTCGATGCTATCTGAAGGAACGGTACTGAAGTGGCTGACAATGCAGGAGTGGAGGCTGATGTCGATGCTATATCTGAAGGAACAGTACTAGTGGCTGACATTGCAGGGTGGAGGCTGATGTGGATGCTATATCTGAAGGAACAGTACTGGTAGCTGACAATGCAGGAGTGGGGCTGATGTGGATGCTATATCTGAAGGAACGGTACTGGTGGCTGATGTGCTGATGTCGATGCTATATCTGAAGGAACGGTACTAGTGGCTGACATTTGCAGGAGTGGTGGCTGATGTCGATGCTATATCTGAAGGAACAGTACTAGTGGCTGTCATTGCAGGGAGTGGAGGCTGATGTGGATGGTATATCTGAAGGGAACGGTAATAGTGGCTGACAATGCAGGAGTGGAGGCTGATGTGGATGCTATATCTGAAGGAACGGTACTGGCTGTCATTGAAGGGTGGAGGCTGATGTCGATGGTATATATGAAGGAACGGTACTAGTATTTGACATTGCAGGAGTGGAGGCTGATGTGGATGCTATATGAAGGAACGGTACTAGTGGCTGTCATTGCAAGGAGTGGAGGCTGATGTCGATGCTATATCTGAAGGAACGGTACTAGTGGCTGACATTGTTTGGGAGTGGAGGCTGATGTCGATGCTATATCTGAAGGAACGGTACTATATTTTGACATTGCAGGAGTGGAGGCTGATGTGGATGCTATATCTAAAGGAACGGTACTAATTGGCTGACATTGCAGGGTGGAGGCTGATGTGGATGCTATATCTGAAGGAACAGTACTAGTGGCTGACATTGCAGGGTGGAGGCTGATGTCGATGCTATATCTGATGGAACGGTACTAGTGGCTGACAATTGCAGGAGTGGAGGCTGATGTGGATGCTATATCTGAAGGAACGGTACTAGTGGCTGACATTTGCAGGGAGTGGAGGAGGCTGATGTGGATGCTATATCTGAAGGAACGGTACTAGTGGCTGTCAATGCAGGGATTGGCTGATGTCGATGGTATATATCTGAAGGAACGGTACTAGTGGCTGACAATGCAGGAGTGGAGCTGATGTCGATGCTATATCTGAAGGAACGGTAGTAGTGGCTGACAATGCAGGGGTGGAGGCTGATGTCAGTGATGCTATATCTGAAGGAACGGTACTAGTGGCTGACAATGCAGGGTGGAGGCTGATGTGGATGCTATATCTGAAGGAACGGTAATGGTGGCTGACAATGCAGGAGTGGAGGCTGATGTGGATGCTATATCTGAAGGAACGGTACTAGTGGCTGACATTGCAGGTGGCTGATGTGGATGCTATATCTGAAGGAACGGTACTAGTGGCTGACAATACATTGTCGATGCTATATCTGGAAGGTACTGTAGCTGATGTCGATGTCGATGCTATGAAGGAACGGTACTAGTGGCTGACATTTGCAGGAGTGGAGGCTGATGTCGATGCTATATATGGAAGGAACAGTACTAGTGGCTGACAATGCAGGGGTGGAGGCTGATGTGGATGCTATATCTGAAGGAACGGTACTAGTGGCTGACAATGCAGGGTGGAGGCTGATGTCGATGCTATATCTGAAGGACAGGTACTATGGCTGACAATGCAGGGTGGAGGCTGATGTGGATGCTATATCTGAAGGAACGGTACTAGTGGCTGACATTTGCAGGAGTGGAGGCTGATGTGGATGCTATATCTGAAGGAACAGTACTAGTGGCTGACATTGCAGGAGTGGTGGCTGATGTGGATGCTATATCTGAAGGAACGGTACTAGTGGCTGACAATGCAGGAGTGGAGGCTGATGTGGACAATATCAGGGAAGGAACTACTAGTGGCTGTCATTGCAAGGGTGGGGCTGATGTGGCTATATCTGAAGAAACAGTACTAGTGGCTGACATTGCAGGATGGGGCTGATGTCGATGCTATATCTGAAAGGAACAGTACTAGTGGCTGACATTGCAGGAGGTGGAGGCTGATATCGATGCTATATCTCTGAAGGAACGGTACTGGTGGCTGACATTTGGGGAGTGGGCTGATGTCGATGCTGTATCTGGAAGGAACCATACTAGTGTCTTGACATTGCAGGAGTGGAGGCTGATGTGGATGCTATATCTGAAGGAACAGTACTAGTGGCTGACATTGCAGGAGTGGAGGCTGATGGATGCTATATCTGGAAGGGAACAGTACTAGTGGCTGACATTGCAGGATTGGTGGTGGCTGATGTCGATGCTATATCTGAAGGAACGGTACTAGTGGCTGACATTGCAGGAGTGGAGGCTGATGTCGATGCTATATCTGATGACACGGTACTAGTGGCTGACAATGCAGGAGTGGAGGCTGATGTGGATGCTATATCTGAAGGAACGGAACTAGTGGCTGAAAATGCAGGAGTGGAGGCTGATGTGGATGCTATATCTGAAGGAACGGTAGTAGTGGCAGACAATGCAGGAGTGGAGGCTGATATGGATGCTATATCTGAAGGAACGGTACTAGTGGCTGTCATTGCAAGGGTGGAGGCTGATGTCGATGCTATATATCTGAAGGAACGGTACTAGTGGCTGACATTTGCAGGAGTGGAAGCTGATGTCGATGCTATATCTGAAGGAACGGTACTAGTGGCTGTCATTGCAAGGTGGAGGCTGATGTCGATGGTATATCTGATGAACGGTACTAGTGGCTGACAATAGTGGAGGCTGATGTGGATGCTATATCTGTACTAGTGGCTGAAATTGCAGAGAAGCTGATGTGGATGCTATATCTGAAGGAACGGTACTAGTGGCTGACATTGCGGGAGTGGAGGCTGATGTGGATGCTATATATCTGAAGGAACGGCTGACAATGCAGGGTGGGTGGCTGATGTCGATGCTATCTGGAAGGAACGGTACTAGTGGCTGACAATGCAGAATTGGAGGCTGATGTGGATGCTATATCTGAAGGGAACGGTACTAGTGGCTGTCATTGCAGGAGTGGAGGCTGATGTCGATGGTATATAGAAGGAACGGTACTAGTGGCTGACATTGCAGGGGTGGAAGCTGATGTCGAGGCTATATCTGAAAAACGGTACTAGTGGCTGACATTGCAGGAGTGGAGGCTGATGTCGATGCTATATCTGAAGGAACGGTACTAGTGGCTGACATTTGCAGGAGTGGGAGGCTGATGTGGATGCTATATCTGGAAGGAACAGTATAGTGGCTGACATTGCAGGAGTGGAGGCTGATGTGGATGCTATATCTGGAAGGAACGGTACTAGTCGCTGACATTGCAGGAGCTGTCATTGCGTACTAGTGGCTGTACTAGTGGCTGACATTGACAATGCAGGAGTGGAGGCTGATGTGGATGCTATATCTGAAGGAACGGTACTAGTGGCTGACATTTGCAGGAGACAATGGAGGGCTGATGTGGATGCTATATCTGAAGGAACGGTACTAGTAGCTGACATTGAAGGTGGTGGCTGATGTCGATGCTATATCTGAAGGAACGGTACTAGTGGCTGACAATGCAGGAGTGGAGTACTAGTGGGCTGAGGCTGTGGATGCTATATCTGAAGGAACGGTACTAGTGGCTGACATTGCAGGAGTGGGCTGATGTGGATGCTATATCTGAAGGAACGGTACTAGTGGCTGACATTGCAGGGTGGAGGCTGATGTCGATACTATATCTGAAGGAACGGTACTGATAGCTGACATTGAAGGAGTAGGGGCGAGTGTGGATGCTATATCTGAAGGAACGGTACTGGTATTTGACATTACAGGATTGGAGGCTGATGTGGATGCTATATCTGAAGGAACGGTACTTATTGACAACATTGCAGGGATTGGAGGCTGATGTCGATGCTATATCTGAAGGAACGGTACTGGTGACATTGCAACATTGGATGTGGAGGTACTAGTGGCTGTGTGGATGCTATATCTGGATCAGAAGGAACGGTACTAGTGGCTGACAATGCTGGATTGGAGGCTGATGTCGATCTTTATATCTGAAGGAACGGTAATAGTGGCTGACAATGCAGGAGTGGAGGCTGATGTGGATGCTATATCTGAAGGAACGGTACTAGTGGCTGTCATTGCAAGGGTGGAGGCTGATGTCGATGGTATATATGAAGGAACGGTACTAGTGGCTGACATTGCAGGAGTGGAAGCTGATGTCGAGGCTATATATGAAGGAACGGTACTAGTGGCTGTCATTGCAAGGGTGGAGGCTGATGTCGATGGTATATCTGAAGGAACGGTACTAGTGGCTGACATTGCAGGAGTGGAGGCTGATGTGGATGCTATATCTGGAAGGAACGGTACTAAAGTGGCTGACATTTGAAGGAGTGGAGGCTGATGTGGATGCTATATCTGAAGGAACAGTACTAGTGGCTGACATTGCAGGGAGTGGAGCTGATGTGGATGCTATATCTGAAGGAACGGTACTAGTGGCTGATATTGCAGGGTGGAGGCTGATGTGGATGCTATATCTGAAGGAACGGTACTAGTGGCTGTGTAATGCTTGGGTGGAGGAGGCTGATGTGGATGCTATATCTGAAAGGAACGGTACTAGTGGCTGACAAGTATTGGCTGCAGTGGAGGCTGATGTGGATGCTATATCTGAAGGAACAGTAACTAGTGGCTGACAATGCAGGAGTGGACATGATGTGGATGCTGCTATATCTGAAGGAACGGTACTAGTGGCTGTCATTGCAAGGTGGAGGCTGATGTCGATGGTATATATGAAGGAACGGTACTAGTGGCTGACATTGCAGGAGTGGAAGCTGATGTCGTGGCTATATATGAAGGAACGGTACTAGTGGCTGACATTGAAGGATTGGGGCTGATGTCGATGCTATATCTGAGGAACAGTACTAGTGGCTGACATTGAAGGTGGAGAGCTGATGTGGATGCTTTATATCTGGAGGAACAGTACTAGTGGCTGACATTGCAGGGTGGAAGGCTGATGTCGATGCTATATCTGAAGGAACTGGTACTAGTAGCTGACATTGCAGGGTGGTGGCTGATGTGATGCTATATCTGAAAGGGAACGAAGTACTAGTGGCAAACAATGCAGGAGTGGAGGCTGATGTGGATGCTATATCTGGAAGGAAGGGTACTAGTGGCTGACAATACAGGATTGGAGGCTGATGTGGACTATATCTGAGGAACGGTACTAGTAGCTGACAATGCAGGGTGGAGGCTGATGTCGATGCTATATCTGAAGGAACGGTAATAGTGGCAGACAATGCAGGAGTGGAGGCTGATGTGGATGCTAGTATCTGACAAGGAACGGTACTAGTGGCTGTATATCTGCAAACGGGTGGGCAATGATGTCTGATGTGGGTATATATGAAGGAACGGTACTAGTGGCTGACATTGCAGGAGTGGAAGCTGATGTCGATGGTATATATGAAGGAACAGTACTATTGGCTGTCATTGCAAGGGTGGAGGCTGATGTCTATGGTATATCTGAAGGAACGGTACTAGTGGCTGACATTGCAGGAGTGGAGGCTGATGTCGATGCTATATCTGAAGGAACGGTACTAGTGGCTGATATTGAAGGAGTGGAGGCTGATGTGGATGCTATATCTAAAGTTACGGTACTAGTGGCTGACATTGCAGGAGTGGAGGCTGATGTGGATGCTATATCTGAAGGAACGTTACTAGTGGCTGACATTGCAGGGAGTGGAGGCTGATGTGGATGCTATATCTGAAGAATTGAACAGTACTAGTGGAACGGTACTGACATTGCAGGAGTGGAGGCTGATGTGGATGCTATATCTGAAGGACGGTACTAGTATTTGACAATGCAGGAGTGGCTGATGTGATGCTATATCTGAAGGAACGGTACTAGTGGCTGTCATTGCTGATGATGTCGATGCTATATCTGAAGGAACGGTACTAGTGGCTGACATTGCAGGAGTGGAAGCTGATGTCGAGGCTATATGTGAAGGAACGGTTCTAGTGGCTGTCATTGTGGAGGCTGATGTCAGTGGTATATCTGAAGGAACGGTACTAGTGGCTGACATTGCAGGAGTGGAGGCTGATGTGGATGCTGCTATATCTGAAGGAACGGTACTAGTGGCTGACATTGAAGGAGTGGCTGATGTGGATGCTATATCTGAAGGAACGGTACTAGTGGCTGACATTGCAGGAGTGGAGGCTGATGTGGATGCTATATATGAAGGAACGGTACTAGTGGCTGACATTGAAGGAGGGTGGCTGATGTCGATGCTATATCTGAAGGAACGGTACTAGTGTCTGACAATGCAGGAGTGGAGGCTGATGTGGATGCTATATCTGAAGGAACGGTACTAGTGGCTGACAATGGAGGCTGATGGATGCTATATCTGAAGGAACGGCTGACATTGTGGATGGATGCTATATCTGAAGGAACGGTACTAGTGGCTGACACATTGCAGGATTAATTGGCTGATGTCGATGCTATATCTGAAGGAACGGTACTAGTGGCTGACAATGCAGGATTGGAGGCTGATGTCGATGCTATATCTGGACAAAGGGGAACGGTACTAGTATTTGACATTGCAGGGTGGAGGCTGATGTCGATGCTATATCTGAAGGAACGGTGGTACTAGTATTTGACAATCTGCAGGAGTGGAGGCTGATGTGGATGCTATATCTGAAGGAAGGGTACTAGTGGCTGACAATGCATGATGGGAGGCTGATGTCGACTATATCTGTACTAGTGTCTGACAATGCAGGGTACTGATGTGGATGCTATATCTGAAGGAACAGTACTGAAGTGGCTGACAATGCTGGTGGAGGCTGATGTGGATGCTATATCTGAAGGAACGGTACTAGTGGCTGACAATGCAGGAGTTGCATGTGGATGCTATATCTGAAGGAACAGTACTGATGTGGATGCAAAGGGTAGGCTGATGTCGATGCTATATCTGAAGGAACGGTACTAGTGGCTGACAATGCAGGATTGGAAGCTGATGTGGATGCTATATCTGAAGGAACAGTACTAGTGGCTGTCATTGCAAGGGTGGGGCTGATGTCGATGGTATATCTGAAGGAACGGTACTAGTGGCTGACATTGCAGGAGTGGAAGCTGATGTCGATGCTATATCTGAAGGAACGGTACTAGTGGCTGACATTGAAGGGAGGCTGATGTGGATGCTATATCTGAAGGAACGGTACTAGTGGCTGACATTGCAGGAGTGGATGATGTGTCGATGCTATATCTGAAGGAACGGTACTAGTGGCTGACATTGCAGGAGTGGTGGCTGATGTCGATGCTATATCTGAAGGAACGGTACTAGTGGCTGACAATGCAGGAGTGGAGGCTGATGTGGATGCTATATCTGAAGAACGGTACTAGTGGACGACAAGGATTGGTACTGATGTCGATGCTATATCTGAAGGAACGGTACTAGTGGCTGACATTGCAGGAGTGGAGGCTGATGTCGATGCTATATCTGAAGGAACGGTACTAGTGGCTGACAATGCAGGAGTGGAGGCTGATGTCGATGCTATATCTGAAGGAACGGTACTAGTGGCTGACATTGCAGGGGTGGTGGCTGATGTCTATATCTGAAGGAACGGTACTAGTGGCTGACAATTGCAGGAGTGGAGGCTGATGTCGATGCTATATATGAAGGAACGGTACTAGTGGCTGACATTGCAGGAGTGGAGGCTGATGTGGATGCTATATCTGAAGGAACGGTACTAGTGGCTGACATTGCAGGAGTGGAGGCTGATGTCGATGCTATATCTGAAGGAACGGTACTAGTGGCTGACTTGTTGCAGGAGTGGAGGCTGATGTCGATGCTATATCTGGAAGGAACGGTACTGGTGGCTGACAATGTGGAGGCTGATGTGGATGCTATATCTGAAGGAACGGTACTAGTGGCTGACAATGCAGGGTGGAGGCTGATGTCGATGCTATATCTGAAGGAACAGTACTAGTGGCTGTCATTGCAGGGTGGAGGCTGATGTCGATGGTATATCTGAAGGAACGGTACTAGTGGCTGACATTTGCAGGAGTGAAAGCTGATGTCGAGGCGGTACTAGTGGCTGACATTATCTGATGTCTATGCTATATCTGGAAGGAACGGTACTAGTGGCTGACAATGCAGGAGTGGAGGCTGATGTGGATACTATATATCTGAAGGAACGGTACTAGTGGCTGACAATTAAGGGTGGAGGCTGATGTGGATGCTATATCTGAAGGAATGGTACTAGTAATTTGACAATGCAGGAGGGTGGAGCTGATGTGGATGCTATATATGAAGGAACGGTACTAGTGGCTGACATTGCAGGAGTGGAGGCTGATGTCGATGCTATATCTGAAGGAACGGTACTAGTGGCTGACAATGCAGGAGTGGAGGCTGATGTGGATGCTATATCTGAAGGAACGGTACTAGTGGCTGACAATGCAGGGTGGAGGCTGATGTGGATGCTATATCTGAAGGAACGGTACTAGTGGCTGACATGCAGGAGGGGCTGATGTCGAGGCTATATCTGAAGGAACGGTACTAGTGGCTGACATTGCAGGAGTGGAAGGCTGATGTGGATGCTATATCTCGAGTGGCTGACAATGCAGGATTGGAGGCTGATGTCGAAGGAACGGTACTAGTGGCTGACAATGCAGGAGTGGAGGCTGATGTCGATGCTATATCTGAAGGAACGGTACTAGTGGCTGACATTGCAGGAGTGGAGGCTGATGTGGATGCTATATCTGAAGGAACAGTACTAGTGGCTGACAATGCAGGATTGGAGGCTGATGTGGATGCTATATCTGAAGGAACGGTACTAGTGGCTGACATTGCAGGATTGGAGGCTGATGTGGATGCTATATCTGAAGGAACGGTACTTGTGGCTGACAATACAGGAGTGGCTGATGTCGATGCTATATCTGTACTAGTATTTGACAATGCAGGAGTGGAGGCTGATGTGGATGCTATATCTGAAGGAAAAGTACTAGTGGCTGACAATATGGAGCTGATGTGGATGCTATAAAGGAACAGTAATAGTGGCTGACATTGCAGGAGATGGGAGGCTGATGTGCAGGGATGCTATATCTGAAGGAACGGTAGTGGCTGTCAGTGGCTGATGTCCAATGAAGAACGGTACAGGGGACATTGCAGGGTGGAGGCTGATGTCGATGCTATATCTGAGGAACGGTACTAGTGGCTGACAATTGCAGGATTGGAGGCTGATGTCGATGCTATATCTGAAGGAACGGTACTAGTGGCTGACATTGCAGGAGTGGAGGCTGATGTCGATGCTATATCTGAAGGAAGGTACTAGTGGCTGACATTGCAGGAGTGGTGGCTGATGTGGATGCTATATCTGGAAGGAACAGGGTACTAGTGGCTGACAATGCAGGAGGCTGATGTGGATGGCTGTATGTGGGGAGGCTGATATCTGAAGGAACGGTACTAGTGGCTGACAATGCAGGAGTGGCTGATGTCGATTCTATCTGAAGGAACGGTACTTAGTGGCTGTCATTGCAAGGGGTGGAGGCTGATGTCGATGCTATATCTGAAGGAACGGTACTAGTGGCTGACAATGCAGGATATCTGGAAGGCTGATGTGGATGCTGGATATATCTGAAGGAACGGTACTAGTGGCTGGACATCTGCACTGGAGTTGGAGGCTGATGTCGATGCTATATCTGAAGGGAACGGTACTAGAAGCTGACAATTGCAGGGGAGTGGAGGCTGATGTCGATGCTATATCTGAAGGAACGGTACTAGTGGCTGACATTGCAGGGAGTGGAGGCTGATGTGGATGCACTATCTGAAGGAACGGTACTAGTGGCTGACATTGCAGGATTGGAGGCTGATGTCGAGGCTATATATCTGAAGGAACGGTACTAGTGGCTGACATTGCAGGAGGGGAGGCTGATGTGGATGCTATATCTGAAGGAACGGTACTAGTGGCTGACAATGCAGGAGTGAGGCTGATGTGGATGCTATATCTGGAAGGAACGGTACTAGTGGCTGACAATGCAGGGTAGGCTGATGTGGATGCTATATCTGGAAGGAACGGTACTAGTGGCTGACATTGCAGGGTGGGAGGCTGATGTCGATGCTATATCTGAAGGAACGGTACTAGTGGCTGACAATGCAGGAGTGGAGGCTGATGTGGATGCTATATCTGGAAGGAACGGTACTAGTGGCTGACTAGGGTGATGTCGATGCTATATCTGAGGAACGGTACTAGTTGACATTGGGGAGTGGAGGCTGATGTGGATGCTATATCTGAAGGAACAGGTACTAGTGGCTGTCATTGCAGGGGTGGAGGCTGATGTCGATGCTATATCTGAAGGAACGGTACTAGTGGCTGACATTGCAGAGTGGAGGCTGATGTCGATGCTATATCTGAAGGAACGGTACTAGTGGCTGACAATGCGGGGTGGAGGCTGATGTCGATGCTATATCTGAAGGAACGGTACTAGTGGCTGACAATGCAGGAGTGGGCTGATGTGGATGCTATATCTGAAGGAACGGTACTAGTGGCTGACATTGCAGGAGTGGTGGCTGATGTCGATGCTATATCTGAAGGAACGGTACTAGTGGCTGACAATGCAGGAGGAGGCTGATGTGGATGCTATATCTGAAAATGAACGGTACTGATGTGGCTGACAATGCAGGTGGAGGCTGATGTGGATGCTATATCTGAAGGAACGGTACTAGTGGCTGACATTGCAGGAGTGGAGGCTGATGTGGATGCTATATCTGAAGGAACGGTACTAGTGGCTGACAATGCAGGAGTGGAGGGCTGATGTGGATGCTATATCTGAAGGAACGGTACTAGTGGCTGACATTGCAGGAGTGGAGGCTGATGTCGATGCTATATCTGAAGAACGGTACTAGTGGCTGACATTGCAGGAGTGGAGGCTGATGTGGATGCTATATCTGAAGGAACGGTACTAGTGGCTGACAATTGCAGGAGTGGAGGCTGATGTGGATGCTATATCTGAAGGAACGGTACTGAGTGGCTGACAATGCAGGAGTGGAGGCTGATGTGGATGCTATATCTGAAGGAACGGTACTAGTGGCTGACATTGCAGGAGTGGAGGCTGATGTGGATGCTATATCTGAAGGAACGGTACTAGTGGCTGACATTGCAGGAGTGGAGGCTGATGTGGATGCTATATCTGAAGGAACGGTACTAGTGGCTGACAATGCGGATTGGAGGCTGATGTGGATGCTATATCTGAAGGAACGGTACTAGTGGCTGACAATGCAGGGGTGGGCTGATGTGGATGCTATATCTGAAGAACAGTACTAGTGGCTGACATTGCAGGAGTGGAGGCTGATGTCGATGCTATATCTGAAGGAACGGTACTAGTGGCTGACATTGCAGGATGGGAGGCTGATGTGGATGCTATATCTGAAGGAACGGTACTAGTGGCTGACAATGCAGGAGTGGGGGCTGATGTCGATGCTATATCTGAAGGAACGGTACTAGTGGCTGACAATGCAGGAGTGGCTGATGTGGATGCTATATCTGGAAGGAACGGTACTAGTAGTGGCTGACATTGCTATATCAGGAGTGGAGGCTGATGTGGATGCTATATCTGAAGGAACGGTACTAGTGGCTGACATTGCAGGAGTGGGGCTGATGAGGCTATATCTGGAAGGAACGGTACTGTGGCTGTCATTTGCAAGGTGGATGATGTCGATGATATCTGGAACGGTACTAGTGGCTGACATTGCAGGAGTGGAGGCTGATGTCGATGCTATATCTGAAGGAACGGTACTAGTGGCTGTCATTGCAGGGTGTGGATGCTATATCTGAAGGAACGGTACTAGTGGCTGACATTGCTGGAGTGGAGGCTGATGTGGATGCTATATCTGAAGGAACGGTACTAGTGGCTGACAATGCAGGAGTGGAGGCTGATGTGGATGCTATATCTGAAGGAACGGTACTAGTGGCTGACAATGCAGGAGTGGAGGCTGATGTGGATGCTATATCTGAAGGAACGGTACTAGTGGCTGACAATGCAGGAGCTGGAGGCTGATGTCGATGCTATATCTGAAGGAACGGTACTAGTGGCTGACATTGCAGGAGTGGAGGCTGATGTGGATGCTATATCTGAAGGAACGGTACTAGTGGCTGACATTGCAGGAGTGGGCTGATGTCGATGCTATATCTGAAGGAACGGTACTAGTGGCTGACATTGCAGGGTAGGCTGATGTCGATGCTATATCTGAAGGAACGGTACTAGTGGCTGACATTGCTGGGCTGATGTGGATGCTATATCTGAAGGAACGGTACTAGTGGGAGACATTGCAGGGTGGAGGCTGATGTGGATGCTATATCTGAAGGAACGGTACTAGTGGCTGACAATGCAGGAGTGGAGCTGATGTGGATGCTATATCTGAAGGAACGGTACTAGTGGCTGACAATGCAGGAGTGGAGGCTGATGTGGATGCTATATCTGAAGGAACGGTACTAGTGGCTGACAATGCAGGAGTGGAGGCTGATGTGGATGCTATATCTGAAGGAACGGTACTAGTGGCTGACATTGCAGGAGTGGAGTCTGATGTGGATGCTATATCTGAAGGAACGGTACTAGTGGCTGACAATGCAGGGTGGAGGCTGATGTGGATGCTATATCTGAAGGAACAGTACTAGTGGCTGACAATGCAGGAGTGGAGGCTGATGTCGATGCTATATCTGAAGGAACGGTACTAGTGGCTGACATTGCAGGAGTGGAGGGCTGATGTGGATGCTATATCTGAAGGAACGGTACTAGTGGCTGACATTGCAGGAGTGGAGGCTGATGTGGATGCTATATCTGAAGGAACAGTACTAGTGGCTGACAATGCAGGATTGGAGGCTGATGTGGATGCTATATCTGAAGGAACGGTACTAGTGGCTGACATTGCAGGGTGGAGGCTGATGTGGATGCTATATCTGAAGGAACGGTACTAGTGGTGTCATTGCAGGGTGAGGCAATGCAGGAACGGTACTGGGCTGACAATGCAGGATGTGGATGCTATATCTGAAGGAACGGTACTAGTGGTGACATTGCAGGGTGAGGCTGATGTCGATGCATATCTGAAGGAACGGTACTAGTGGGACATTGCAGGTGGAGGCTGATGTGGATGCTATATCTGAAGGAACGGTACTAGTGGCTGACAATGCAGGATTGGAGGCTGATGTCGATGCTATATCTGAAGGAACGGTACTAGTGGCTGACAATGCAGGAGTGGAGGCTGATGTCGATGCTATATCTGAAGGAACGGTACTAGTGGCTGACAATGCAGGAGTGGAGGCTGATGTGGATGCTATATCTGAAGGAACGGTACTAGTGCTGACATTGCAGGAGTGGAGGCTGATGTGGATCTATATCTGAAGGAACGGTACTAGTGGCTGACATTGCAGGGTGGAGGATGCTATATCTGAAGGAGTGGCTGACATTGTGGATGGGCTATATCTTGAAGGAACGGTACTAGTGGCTGACATTTGCAGGTGTGGAGGCTGATGTGGATGCTATATCTGAAGGAACGGTACTAGTGGCTGACATTGCAGGGTGGAGGCTGATGTCGAGGCTATATCTGAAGGAACGGTACTAGTGGCTGACATTGCAAGGGTGGAGCTGATGTCGATGGTATATCTGAAAGGAACGGTACTAGTGGCTGACATTGCAGGAGTGGGCTGATGTGGATGCTATATCTGAAGGAACGTACTGATGGCTGACATTGAAGGGTGGAGGCTGATGTGGATGCTATATCTGGAAGGAACGGTACTAGTGGCTGACATTGCAGGAGTGGAGGCTGATGTGGATGCTATATCTGAAGGAACGGTACTAGTGGCTGACATTGCGGGGAGGAGGCTGATGTCGATGCTATATCTGAAGGAACGGTACTAGTGGCTGACAATGCAGGAGTGGAGGCTGATGTGGATGCTATATCTGAAGGAACGGTACTAGTGGCTGACAATGCAGGATTGGAGGCTGATGTGGATGCTATATCTGAAGGAACGGTACTAGTGGCTGACATTGCAGGAGTGGAGGCTGATGTGGATGCTATATCTGAAGGAACGGTACTAGTGGCTGACATTGCAGGAGTGGAGGCTGATGTCGATGCTATATCTGAAGGAACGGTACTAGTGGCTGACAATGCAGGAGTGGGGGCTGATGTCGATGCTATATCTGAAGGAACGGTACTAGTGGCTGACATTGTGGAGGGATGTCGATGCTATATCTGAAGGAACGGTACTAGTGGCTGACATTGCAGGAGTGGATGTGGGCTGATGTGGATGCTATATCTGAAGGAACGGTACTAGTAGTGGCTGACATTTGCAGGAAGGCTGATGTGGATGCTATATCTGAAGGAACGGTACTAGTGGCTGACATTGCAGGAATGGAGGCTGATGTGGATGCTATATCTGAAGGAACGTAGTAGTGGCTGACATTGCAGGAGTGGAGGCTGATATGGACTATATCTGGAAGGAACGGTAGTAGTGGCTGACAATGCAGGAGTGGAGGCTGATGTGGATGCTATATCTGAAGGAACGGTACTAGTGGCTGACATTGCAGGAGTGGAGGCTGATGTGGATGCTATATCTGGAAGGAACGGTACTAGTGGCTGACATTGCAGGAGTGGAGGCTGATGTGGATGCTATATATCTGAAGGAACGGTACTAGTGGCTGACATTGCAGGAGTGGAGGCTGATGTGGATGCTATATCTGAAGGAACAGTACTAGTGGCTGACAATGCAGGAGTGGAGGCTGATGTGGATGCTATATCTGAAGGAACGGGTACTAGTGGCTGACATTGCAGGAGTGGGGAGGCTGATGTGGATCTATATCTGAAGGAACGGTACTAGTGGCTGACAATGCAGGAGTGGAGGCTGATGTGGATGCTATATCTGAAGGAACGGTACTAGTGACATTGCAGGAGTGGAGGCTGATGTGGATACTATATCTGAAGGAAGGAGCTGACATTGCAGGAGTGGAAGGCTGATCGATGCTATATCTGAAGGAACGGTACTAGTGGCTGACATTGCAGGAGTGGAGGCTGATGTGGATGCTATATCTGAAGGAACGGTACTAGTGGCTGACAATGCAGGAGGAGGCTGATGTGGATGCTATATCTGAAGGAACGGTACTAGTGGCTGACAATGCAGGAGTGGAGGCTGATGTGGATGCTATATATCTGAAGGAAACGGTACTAGTGGCTGACATTGCAGGGAGTGGAGGCTGATGTGGATGCTATATCTGAAGGAACGGTACTAGTGGCTGACATTGCAGGAGTGGAGGCTGATGTGGATGCTATATCTGAAGGAACGGTACTGGTAACTGACATTGCAGGAGTGGAGGCTGATGTCGATGCTATATCTGAAGGAACGGTACTAGTGGCTGACATTGCAGGGTGGAGGCTGATGTGGATGCTATATCTGAAGGAACGGTACTAGTGGCTGACAATGCAGGAGTGGAGGCTGATGTGGATGCTATATCTGAAGGAACGGTACTAGTGGCTGACATTTGCAGGAGTGGAGGCTGATGTGGATGCTATATCTGAAGGAACGGTACTAGTGACTGATGTGGATGCTATATCTGGAAGGAACGGTACTAGTGGCTGACATTGCAGGAGTGGAGGCTGATGTCGATGCTATATCTGAAGGAACGGTACTAGTGGCTGACAATGCAGGAGTGGAGGCTGATGTCGATGCTATATCTGAAGGAACGGTACTAGTGGCTGACATTGCAGGTGGAGGCTGATGTGGATGCTATATCTGAAGGAACGGTACTATGGCTGACATTGCAGGAGTGGAGGCTGATGTGGATGCTATATCTGAAGGAACGGTACTAGTGGCTGGACTGATGTTGCTGAAGGAACGGTACTAGTGGCTGACATTGCAGGGCTGATGTGGATGCTATATCTGAAGGAACGGTACTAGTGACAATGCAGGAGTGGAGGCATGTGGATGTATATCTGGAAGGAACGGTACTGGAGCTGACATTGCAGGATGGAGGCTGATGTGGATGCTATATCTGAAGGAACGGTACTAGTGGCTGACAATGCAGGAATGGAGGCTGATGTCGATGCTATATCTGAAGGAACGGTACTAGTGGCTGACATTGCAGGAGTGGAGGCTGATGTCGATGCTATATCTGAAGGAACGGTACTAGTGGCTGACATTGCAGGAGTGCTGAGGATGCTATATCTGAAGGAACGGTACTAGATGACATTGCAGGATGCTGATGTGGATGCTATATCTGAAGGAACGGTACTAGTGGCTGACAATGCAGGAGTGGGCTGATGTCGATGCTATATCTGAAGGAACGGTACTAGTGGCTGACAATGCAGGAGGGGAGGCTGATGTGGATGCTATATCTGAAGGAACGGTACTAGTGGCTGACATTGCAGGAGTGTGGAGGCTGATGTGGATGCTATATCTGAAGGAACGGTACTAGTGGCTGACATTGCAGGAGTGGAGGCTGATGTGGATGCTATATCTGAAGGAACGGTACTAGTGGCTGACATTGCAGGAGTGGGAGGCTGATGTGGATGCTATATCTGAAGGAACGGTACTAGTGGCTGACATTGCAGGAGTGGAGGCTGATGTGGATGCTATATCTGAAGGAACGGTACTAGTGGCTGACATTGCAGGAGTGGAGGCTGATGTGGATGCTATATCTGAAGGAACGGTACTGCAGTGGCTGACATTATCTGAAGGAACGGGAGTGGAGGCTGATGTCGATGCTATATCTGAAGGAACGGTACTAGTGGCTGACAATGCAGGAGTGGGGGCTGATGTGGATGCTATATCTGAAGGAACGGAAGGGCTGACATTGCAGGAGTGGAGGCTGATGTGGATGCTATATCTGAAGGAACGGTACTAGTGGCTGACATTGCAGGAGTGGAGGCTGATGTGGATGCTATATCTGAAGGAACGGTACTAGTGGCTGACATTGCAGGATGTGGATGCTATATCTGGTACTAGTGGCTGACATGTGGATGATGTGGATGCTATCTGAAGGAACGGTACTAGTGGCTGACATTGCAGGAGGAGGCTGATGGAGGCTGATGTGGATGCTATATCTGAAGGAACGGTACTAGTGGCTGACATTGCAGGAGTGGAGGCTGATGTGGATGCTATATCTGAAGGAACGGTACTAGTGGCTGACATTGCAGGAGTGGAGGCTGATGTGGATGCTATATCTGAAGGAACGGTACTAGTGGCTGACAATGGAGGCTGAGGATGCTATATCTGAAGGAACGGGAGTGGCTGACATTGCAGGATGGAGGCTGATGTGGATGCTATATCTGAAGGAACGGTACTAGTGGCTGACATTGCAGGAGTGGAGGCTGATGTGGATGCTATATCTGAAGGAACGGTACTAGTGGCTGACATTGCAGGAGTGGAGGCTGATGTGGATGCTATATCTGAAGGAACGGTACTAGTGGCTGACATTGCAGGAGTGGAGGCTGATGTGGATGCTATATCTGAAGGAACGGTACTAGTGGCTGACATTGCAGGAGTGGAGGCTGATGTGGATGCTATATCTGGAAGGAACGGTACTAGTGGCTGACATTGCAGGAGTGGAGGCTGATGTGGATGCTATATCTGAAGGAACGGTACTAGTGGCTGACATTGCAGGAGTGGAGGCTGATGTGGATGCTATATCTGAAGGAACGGTACATTGCAGGGTGGCTGATGTCAATGAAGGACGGTACTAGTGGCTGGCAGGAGTGGAGGCTGATGTCGATGCTATATCTGAAGGAACGGTACTAGTGGCTGACAATTGCAGGACATTGAGTGGAGGCTGATGTGGATGCTATATCTGAAGGAACGGTACTAGTGGCTGACATTGCAGGAGTGGAGGCTGATGTGGATGCTATATCTGAAGGAACGGTACTAGTGGCTGACATTGCAGGAGTGGAGGCTGATGTGGATGCTATATCTGAAGGAACGGTACTGAAGTGGCTGACATTGCAGGAGTGGAGGCTGATGTGGATGCTATATCTGAAGGAACGGCTGACATTGCAGGAGTGGAGGCTGATGTGGATGCTATATCTGAAGGAACGGTACTAGTGGCTGACAATGCAGGAGTGGAGGCTGATGTCGATGCTATATCTGAAGGAACGGTACTAGTGGCTGACATTGCAGGAGTGGAGGCTGATGTGGATGCTATATCTGAAGGAACGGTACTAGTGGCTGACATTGCTGACATGTTGCAGGAGTGGCTGTGGAGGCTGATGTCGATGCTATATCTGAAGGAACGGTACTAGTGGTGACAATGCTGGACTGATGTTGCTAGGAAGGAACGGAGTGGCTGACATTGATGTGGAGGCTGATGGATGCTATATCTGAAGGAACGGTACTAGTGGCTGACATTGCAGGAGTGGAGGCTGATGTGGATGCTATATCTGAAGGAACGGTACTAGTGGCTGACATTGCAGGAGTGGGCTGATATGGATGCTATATCTGAAGGAACGGTACTAGTGGCTGACAATGCAGGATTGGGGCTGATGTGGATGCTATATCTGAAGGAACGGTACTAGTGGCTGACAATGCAGGAGTGGAGGCTGATGTGGATGCTATATCTGAAGGAACGGTACTAGTGGCTGACATTGCTGGAGGCTGATGTGGATGCTATATCTGAAGGAACGGTACATTGCAGGAGTGGAGATGTGGAGGCTGATGTGGATGCTATATCTGAAGGAACGGTACTAGTGGCTGACAATGCAGGAGTGGAGGCTGATGTGGATGCTATATCTGAAGGAACGGTACTAGTGGCTGACATTGCAGGAGTGGAGGCTGATGTGGATGCTATATCTGAAGGAACGGTACTAGTGGCTGACATTGCAGGAGTGGAGGCTGATGTGGATGCTATATCTGAAGGAACGGTACTAGTGGCTGACAATGCAGGAGTGGGGGCTGATGTCGATGCTATCTCTGAAGGAACGGTACTAGTGGCTGACATTGCAGGAGTGGAGGCTGATGTGGATGCTATATCTGAAGGAACGGTACTAGTGGCTGACATTGCAGGAGTGGAGGCTGATGTGGATGCTATATCTGAAGGAACGGTACTAGTGGCTGACATTGGAGGCTGAGATGCTATATCTGAAGGAACGGTACTAGTGGCTGACATTGTGAGGCTGATGTGGATGCTATATCTGAAGGAACGGTACTAGTGGCTGACAATTGCTGAGGATGCTATATCTGAAGGAACGGAGTGGCTGACATTGTGGATGTGGATGCTATATCTGAAGGAACGGTACTAGTGGCTGACATTGCTGATGGATGCTATATGGAAGGAACGGTACTAGTGGAGGCTGATGATGGATGCTATATCTGAAGGAACGGTACTAGTGGCTGACATTGCAGGAGTGGAGGCTGATGTGGATGCTATATCTGAAGGAACGGTACTAGTGGCTGACAATGCAGGAGTGGAGGCTGATGTGGATGCTATATCTCTGAACGGTACTAGTGGCTGAATTGCAGGGTGGAGGCTGATGTGGATTCTATATCTGAAGGAACGGTACTTGGCTGACATTGCAGGAGTGGGCTGATGTGGATGCTATATCTGAAGGAACGGTACTAGTGGCTGACATTGCAGGAGTGGAGGCTGATGTGGATGCTATATCTGAAGGAACGGTACTAGTGGCTGACATTGCAGGAGTGGAGGCTGATGTGGATGCTATATCTGAAGGAACGGTACTAGTGGCTGACATTGCAGGGAGGCTGATGGATGCTATATCTGAAGGAACGGTACTAGTGGCTGACATTGCAGGAGTGGAGGCTGATGTGGATGACAATGCTAGGCTATCTGAAGGAACGGTACTAGTGGCTGACATTGCAGGAGTGGAGGCTGATGTGGATGCTATATCTGAAGGAACGGTACTAGTGGCTGACATTGCAGGAGTGGAGGCTGATGTCGATGCTATATCTGAAGGAACGGTACTAGTGGCTGACATTGCAGGAGTGGAGGCTGATCGATGCTATATCTGAAGGAACGGTACTAGTGGCTGACATTGCAGGAGTGGAGGCTGATGTGGATGCTATATCTGGAAGGAACGGTACTAGTGGCTGACATTGCAGGAGTGGAGGCTGATGTGGATGCTATATCTGGAAGGAACGGTACTAGTGGCTGACATTGCAGGAGTGGAGGCTGATGTCGATGCTATATCTGAAGGAACGGTACTAGTGGCTGACATTGCAGGAGTGGAGGCTGATGTGGATGCTATATCTGAAGGAACGGTACTAGTGGCTGACATTGCAGGAGTGGAGGCTGATGTGGATGCTATATCTGAAGGAACGGTACTAGTGGCTGACATTTGCAGGAGCTATATCTGAAGGAAGGCTGATGTGGATGCTATATCTGAAGGAACGGTACTAGTGGCTGACATTGCAGGAGTGGAGGCTGATGTGGATGCTATATCTGAAGGAACGGTACTGAAGTGGCTGACATTGCAGGAGTGGAGGCTGATGTGGATGCTATATCTGAAGGAACGGTACTAGTGGCTGACATTGCAGGAGTGGAGGCTGATGTGGATGCTATATCTCTGAAGGAACGGTACTAGTGGCTGACAATGCAGGAGTGGGGCTGATGTGGATGCTATATCTGAAGGAACGGTACTAGTGGCTGACATTGCAGGAGTGGAGGCTGATGTGGATGCTATATCTGAAGGAACGGTACTAGTGGCTGACATTGCAGGAGTGGAGGCTGATGTCGATGCTATATCTGAAGGAACGGTACTAGTGGCTGACATTGCAGGAGTGGAGGCTGATGTGGATGCTATATCTGAAGGAACGGTACTAGTGGCTGACATTGCAGGAGTGGAGGCTGATGTGGATGCTATATCTGAAGGAACGGTGACATTGCAGGGTGGTGGCTGGACATTGCAGGAGTGGAGGCTGATGTGGATGCTATATCTGAAGGAACAGGAGTGGCTATATCTGAAGGAACGGTACTAGTGGCTGACATTGCAGGAGTGGAGGCTGATGTGGATGCTATATCTGAAGGAACGGTACTAGTGGCTGACAATGCAGGAGAGTGGAGGCTGATGTGGATGCTATATCTGAAGGAACGGTACTAGTGGCTGACATTGATGTGGATGCTATATCTGAAGGAACGGTACTAGTGGCTGACATTGCAGGAGTGATGATGTGGATGCTATATCTGAAGGAACGGTACTAGTGACATTGCAGGAACGATGCTATATCTGAAGGAACAGTACTAGTGGCTGACATTGCAGGAGTGGAGGCTGATGTGGATGCTATATCTGAAGGAACGGTACTAGTGGCTGACATTGCAGGAGTGGAGGCTGATGTGGATGCTATATCTGAAGGAACGGTACTAGTGGCTGACATTGCAGGAGTGGAGGCTGATGTGGATGCTATATCTGAAGGAACGGTACTAGTGGCTGACATTGCAGGAGTGGAGGCTGATGTGGATGCTATATCTGAAGGAACGGTACTAGTGGCTGACAATGCAGGAGTGGAGGCTGATGTGGATGCTATATCTGAACGGTACTAGTGGCTGACATTGCAGGAGTAGCTGATGTGGATGCTATATCTGAAGGAACGGTACTAGTGGCTGACATTGCAGGGTGGAGGCTGATGTGGATGCTATATCTGAAGGAACGGTACTAGTGGCTGACAATGCAGGAGTGGAGGCTGATGTGGATGCTATATCTGAAGGAACGGTACTAGTGGCTGACATTGCAGGAGTGGAGGCTGATGTGGATGCTATATCTGAAGGAACGGTACTAGTGGCTGACATTGCAGGAGTGGAGGCTGATGTGGATGCTATATCTGAAGGAACGGTACTGCAGTGGCTGACAATGCTATATCTGAAGTGGAGGCTGATGTGGATGTGGATATATCTGAAGGAACGGTACTAGTGGCTGACATTGCAGGAGTGGAGGCTGATGTGGATGCTATATCTGAAGGAACGGTACTAGTGGCTGACAATGCAGGATTGGAGGCTGATGTGGATGCTATATCTGAACGAACGGTACTAGTGGTGGCTGACATGGATGCTATATCTGAAGGATTTGAGGCTGATGTCGATGCTATATCTGAAGGACATTGCAGGAGCTGATGTGCATCTATATTAAGCCATAATGTTAATTTTGGATGTTTTCCTATTTTCTCCTTCTTTTCTGCACTTCTCTCCTTCTATGCTCCACCCAAAACTTTACGTTTCATTTCTTGTAAAAGCGTTATTCACCTGGAAATATTTATCTTAAATATTTAGTATTTAGCCCTGCACCAGGATGTAAGGTTATATTATATAAATGTACTTGCAACAAAACGTAAATATTTAAACATTCTGCTCCCATAATGAACATTACCTTCCTTAAATTGTATGAACAATATTTATTCTTAATACAAACTCTCTACTTTGTACTGATTCATAAAACTACCAGACAAGACCGAGATCTAGCTTAGTGGCATAGCTAGGGTGTCTGGCACTGATCTAGCCTCATCTATGTATAGGTCTACAAGACTACATTCAACATTTTTCTCAACTTGCATAATTAAAAAGCTTTTCTATTCACAAACTATCAATAACTGGTAATTAGATTACTAGTAATTAAATTCATGATCTTAAATAACTACTACATGCTTACTGTACAAGTGTTCAATGTTGTGATTGAATCTCAGGTTCGATCACTAATAAGCTATGCATAGCCCTATACCTGAGTTCATATACAATGTCTACATATCCAAATCATATCATTGCTATTAATAATGCTACATTAGGTAATGTTACTTCGGCTTTTTCATATTTGCATTAATGTTTAAATCAAAATATGTAGCTAGTTGCATTAACAATATTTTGATAAGTGAAATTGGGTAAAAGAAATAAATTCTTCAACATGAACATCAAATACGAAAATTGTTTTAATTAAGATGTCTGAATTGTTGTTTTTATTTTGAAATGAACATTAAAGCTTAAGACGTGCTCCCCCCCATTTCGTCACGATTGCGACAAAAAAAGGGAGAGAGAGATGGGGAGGGAGAGGGTGAATGAGAGGGAGAGTGGGAGAGAGGGATAGAGGGAGAGGGGGAGAGAGAGGGAGGGAAAGGGAGAGTGGGGGAGAGAGGGAGAGGGAGAGAGATAAAGGGAGAGAGGGATAGGGGGAGGGAGAGGGAGAGAGAGAGACAAAGGAAAGAGAGAGAGAGAGAGGGAGGGTGAAAGAAAAGGGGCATAAAGAAATACGATCAATGCTAGAGTTTTCAACAATAAAAATAATGCATTTACAAAAGTAAAAATTACAATTAAATATTCAAAACAATATTCATTCAGTTTATGGGGAAATATAAGAATTAAATCAAACCAGAGACAAAAATAAAACTAAAAGATAATATTATCTCAAACAGAAAGTCAACAGTAGTTTTGGTCTTTTACTTTGTTTTCCATTGTGGACTGTATTGAAAGCTTCATTGAATTTAATTGCTCTAGCAGTAAGTGTACATCTTTCAGGTGAAGCCAGAATATTATGGTATCATAAGGAATCCCAGCCATATAGTGTTTTCAAGTTTAAAGAGATTCTCTCAGAATGTTCATTGTATATGTTTTCGATCACTGGAAATATTTTTTTAGGATTTCATCGGACTAAGTTTGTTATGTTGTCTCCACTGCACATGCGTACAAACGAGGGATGCTGGGAATTTTTAAATTTTTTTTTTTAATCTAGCCGATTTCATTTAGATTCTTTTACTTTTTCTTTTCATCACTTTTGTTATAAGACATCCTACACTGCTATAGTAGATGTTCCACCAGAAATGGTAAAATGTAAGAACCACGACACAAATTTACTGTGGATGACTTTGCAATCTCTAAACATTTTCAACGTAGTGAATTGTTTTCTCTTTTGATCAGAGTCAAAATTTTTATGTCAAAATTGTGGTCAGTTTCTAAAAAAAAAAAAAAAATTAAATTAAAAATTTCCCAGCATCCCTCGTTCGTGCGCATGTGCAGTCGCACCAATATAACAAATACAGCTCGATAAAGTCCTAAAGGGCGAAACGCATCAAAAGAAAAAAAATTCCACTTTGTCATACTATTTTCCTCAATATTGTTCTCGATATATAAATCTATATATCGTTATCTTATTCATATATATATATATATATATATATATATATAAGTGAACATAGAAGTCAACATTTAGAGGCGACAGTCTATTTCATGCTATATGCAATCGTGGCCTGACGATTGCATATAGCATGAAACAGACTGTCGCCTCTATGTTCACTTTTCACTATATTACACACGCTCTATCTCTGATATTGAGCACTTTATCCCATAAATATAGCATACCTTAGAGTATATTTCTTCATATATATATATATATATATATATATATATATATATATATATATATATATATTATATAGACACGAATTCATTCACTTCACTAAATCTACTTTTAAAATCTACCACGACTCCAACTGTAGAAGTCATAACATAATTTACCTCTTAGAATGCACACTATGCCAGAAACAATATGTAGGAAAATCTGAATGGCCCTTTCACTACAGAATTAATAATTATCGCAATCCAATTAAGTCGACTCACCATGAAAGATTATTACCTGTAGAAAAACATTTCCGCCTAGAAACACACACACACACACACACACACACACACACACACACACACACACACACACACACACACACACACACACACACGATTTTAAAACTGTCATGGGTCCTTACCTATAACTACAGAATGAACTCTTCCTAACACTATGTATACTACGCCTCTCAAGAGAGAGGGACGAATCGAGTCGAGCCGATAGTAGTTCACTCCAAACCAGACTGACAGTCATACTCACATCTTCCACATCTTGTATAATTATTTTGTGTAATATACCTTCGTTATTTCTACTCTTGTGTTCGTGTTGTTCTTCCTTGGTCCTAACCTGGACCATAACAGATAGATAGATAGATAGATAGATAGATAGATAGATAGATAATGACCAGCCTAACATAGCGAAATAAGATAGTGTCATGGGTCCTTTACCTATAACTACAGAATGAACTCTTCCTAACACTATGTATACTACGCCTCTCAAGAGAGAGGGACGAATCGAGTCGAGCCGATAGTAGTTCACTCCAAACCAGACTGACAGTCATACTAACACCTTCCACATCTTGTATTATTATTTCGTGTAATATACCTTCATTATTTCTACTCTTGTGTTCGTGTTGTTCTTCCTTGGTCCTAACCTGGACCATAACAAAAACTCATGCCAAATTCGTTGAGAGAATAGAAAAGTTCAGAGCAGATAACATTAGAAAGATTTTAGAGTTCCATGAAAATAAGTGGATACAATGTTTAAAAACGCACTATCCAGACGGGCTTAATCACAAATTTAACAATATAGATAGTATTAATATATAACCCCACAAATCAGGACCTACCCACATTTTTCACCCACACAAGACAGGCATGCTTACGGAGGTATTGAGGCCTCATATTTATACACACACCCACACGAATATACACACATCATACTCACTCACTCCCTAAGGACCAAATAACGCACACACACTTAACAGAGACACATCCCCTTTCCAGGAACCAATAAAACTGTCAAAATGACCAAGGGAATTCAGAGCAGCATGAATCTATCCAACTCTTATCTCAAATAACAACTTAAAAGAGACTGTTTGACCAACACAAGGACTGGCCAAAATTCATGTTAAAAAAATAAAAAAAACAAATGAAAACTACAGACAAAAGTTCATTCTCTCCATCAAGACATTCATTTCTGTAGTTTACTTATTATTTTTCTCCTGATGATGGCCATGTTGGCCGAAACTAGTCGAGGAGTCTAAATGAAATAATAATAAAAACGAAGGAATATTATACAACCAGTGTGTCTGAAGATTTTAATTTTTTAATGTTTTTTATTGTTCAATATATATATATATATATATATATATATATATATATATATATATATATATGTATATATATAAATGACAACTTCTTTGTGAATGGGTCGAAAATAAAATCCAAAATAAGATTAGAAAATTGTATATGTGAAGAAAATGCCGGACGAAGTAGAAGACAGATTAGGAGTGATAAAAAGAGAATTTTCAATCAATGACTAAACTGAGTAAATGGAAAAAAAAAAAATTTTGAGTTGATCTGAAGGCAATTAAATACGAGAATTTGCAACAGGTCAAAGAATCAATTAAAAATGCCATCTCGTTTGGACACATCTACTCCAAACGACTTTCCCCCACCAAAGACGAAAGAAAATTGGCTAGAGATAAAAAAAAAAAAAAAATAAATAAATAAAAATTACTGACCTACATCTAAAACAGCATGGTACGTTTTTTGAATCAAAACGACAGCTACTTCTTTTTCTCTTTTATTACAGATAAGACATTCAATTGTGACTAATAGCATTTAATATGTATTAGGCTGGCCAGAATGTCTTGACTCAGGAAGCGGAAAGAAAACAAGAAAATTTTATGGAGCAACACCAACATTTTTTAAAGTCTATCATTCTCGCCGATCTTTTGCTAGCATCCTAATCTGTCTTAGATAGCAGTCCGCTGGCTTTGAATAAAAAAAACAAAAAACTGTAAACAATCTTCATTCACTTTTATTAGTATAGGTTATCGTCCACACAGAGTTTACCGACTATTTCGTGTTAGGAAGAATAACGTGTATTTAGTCTTTCAGTAGCACACCGATACTAATATCAGCATTAGTGTAGCCATCGATACACTAACACTGAATACGAATATAGAAAGACAAAATACGCAAGCGTAACAAGCAAAACATTTAATAAGGCAAACAACTTACATACATATATTCAAAAGATTTACATATGTCCCAAAACAAATGATTGTCCATATTGTCCCAAAGGAATGAGGAGGTTTACAGAACGAGAACAAAAAAATAACATACGAGCTATATGGCCTTTGATAGTCCGCAGGTAAGTGAATAGAAATTACTTTTTTCTTTCGCTAGGCCGTGCACATGTTGACCAGTTTCCACGTGTGTCGACACCCTGATGGTCAGGAAGGTAAAAGAGACCGTTCCTCCAAAAAACGGAAGCAAAAACTAAAATGGACAGAAGAATTCCCCTCTCTAAAAGGGGCCAAGCTCACATGAGCTCAACCCAAGGGAAAACAACTGTGGTCTCCCTACAACTTTATCAAAAGCGTTGAATCGTTAGTCGCGGAGGAAGTGTGCCATAGTCACTCGGAATAGCATCGAGACTGAATAGTGGATGTGGATAAATCTCAACACCCTCCATCTCTTTCAACTTCTCCATAGCCAACCTGGCAGCGTATGGGCTCGCTTTGTCTTGCTGAAACAAAGAAGGATGCACCTTCTTTAGTTTGTCGTACACGCGGTCTAGTTGTTGTCAATATAGTTTGGCCTTGATGGCACGATCTTATAGAACAAGCTGGAAATTCAGTACTCTTTGGAAATTCAGTACTCTTTGGAAATTCAGTACTCTTTGGAAATCCAGTACTCTTTGGAAATTCCAGCTGACAGAGATCAAGATTTGTTGTTCTCTTTCCGCTTCCTAAGTGAGTCAGGACTTTCTGTCCAAACCCAATAAATGGATGAGAGAACAGGAAGCAGGAAAGATAGTAGGACAAACATTGTTAAAAGGTACAAAGGAGAGAAAGTTGTGGAGAGCTAGGATGTCCCACGTCCTGAAAGGACATGTATTTTGAAGAAGTTTTATAACTGTTTTTTAATATTTCACTCATCAAAAAAAAAAAAATTATGCTTAAATTTAAAATTCCCAGCATCTGTCATTTGTGTACATGTGTACTCACATCAATGTGAGGCCACAAACTACCAGGTTGACTAAGGAGAAGTTCAAACAGATGGAGAGTGTTGAAATTCTTCCACATCCACCATTCAGGCCCGATGCTGCTCCGAGCGACTATGACAACTTCCGCTCAATGGCACACTTCCTCCGTGACCAGTGATTCAACACTTCTGATGAAGTGAAGGAAGCTTGTTTACAGTTTTTTGATTCAAAGCCAGCAGATTGGTTTCTGGGACAGATTCAGATGCTAGCTGATCACTGGCAAGAGATTGTCGAGAATGATGGACTTTATTTTGAAGAATAAATATTGGCATTGCTCCATAAAATTTTGTTGTTTTCTTTCTGCTTCCCAAGTGAGCCAGGACTTTCTGGCCAACCCAATAAATGGATAAGAGAACAGGAAGCAGGAAAGATAGTAGAAGGACAAGCATTGTTAAAAGGTAAAAAGGAGAGAGAGTTGTGGGGAGCTAGGATGGCCCACGTCCTGAAAGGACATGTATTTCGAAGAAGTTTTTATAACTGTTTTTTAATATTTCACGCATCAAAAAAAAAAAAATCATGCTTAAATTTAAAATTCCCAGCATCTCTCATTTGTGCACATGTGTACCTACATCAATGTGAGCCAAAGCGTTTGATAAGGTTTGGCATGCCGGCCTTCTTTGCAAGCTTCAGGGTTATGGAATTTCAGGTTGATTGTTTGACTTAATACAATCATTCCTGTCAAAGCGTGTATTGAAGGTTATTCTCAACGGATTCTCCTCCAGCTCCTATCCCACGAACGCAGGTGTTCCCCAAGACTCCATCCTAGGCCCTACTCTGTTCCTTATCTTCATTAACGATCTTCCTGATGTCATAGATTCCCAAGTAGGCATCTATGCAGATGACACTACTATTTACTCCTGCCTCAAAAACAAATCTAGTGTCGCCGACAAAACTAACCTGGCCGTTTGTCTTGAAAGGGATCTCGAATCGGTTGTGGACTGGGGCAGGAATTGGTTCGTTAACTTTAATGCCTTAAGAACAAAACTATTCTCTATTACTCACAAATGCTTTCACGGTAACTGCTCCGATGAGTTGCTTTCGCTGGTTCCCAGACTTCATGAATTTAAGCGCTCAACTAGGCTGGCATCTCGCTCTCTTTCACTATCGAAACTCTTAAATGTAGCCGTCTCTTCGACTCCAGTAGCTTCATGTCTCGCAATTCTCGCCTGTGGAACTCCCTCTCCTTTTCCTGTTTCCCTAATAGCTATAATCTTCAACTATTCAAATGTAACGTTAATCGACATCTCCAGATGCCCTGATCTATCCCCTAACCGTCTCTTCATCCTTTCCTCTATCACACCTCTTTGTTCTCGCTCCTACTCTGAAACCCTTTGCGTGCTAGTGGCTTCCTGTCTTGCTTGGATTTGAATGCTTAAAAAAAAAAAAAAAAAAAACACTGCCAGGTTGACTAAGAAGTTCAAATGATGAACTTTATTTTGAAGAATAAATATTGGCGTTGCTCCATAAAATTTTGTTATTTTCTTTCCGCTTCCTAAGTGAGTCAAGACTTTCGGGCCAACCTTATATATCAGACTCGTGTCCATTTCTACGAACATTATATTAACAAGACTGTTTATGAAAGAATGCATACACGGACCTTCCTGTACAAAACTTTGTTGTAAAATGTAAATGAATGACAGGTTTGAATTTTAAAACAATTAGTGAAATTTTATTTTTGATTTTAATTATGACCATGACAAACTACTAAGTATAAATATACATACTCAAAATATTAATTAAATATGAAAACCTATGGCAAATAATATTTGAAACTTTAGAAGTTGAAATGTAAGTCATTTTCATTTAGTTGCGGTGGAAGAAAAATAAACAGTGCACTGGTCTTCAAAATATTGCATTTGTGTTAGACAAGTTGTTCATTAAATGTTAATTTATTCAAGAGTTAAGTTATTTTAATGCAGTCATAAAGAACCTTGTAACTTATTCTTAAAATATGTATGGCTATATAACTTTTAATGAATTTAAATCTTCATGAGATCTTGCTTCGAATCTCACCATATACGATTTGTCACGGAGGTGACTTCTTCATAATATTGGCCAGGGACTCTGACAACCATACCACGCGTTGCTCCTTATGATTGAAATTGGGTAAACCAACTGTTCAGACGTCATCGATGGTTGAGCTAAAATGAAATTACAAGTCATCGTGGCCGAGCGTTTGAGCCTGATGGTCTTGTTGATCATGCCAGATTATGCGCTCTCTCCAAGAAACTGTATCTAAGACCCGCTCAATAGAGTTGCATTACAAAGCACGGGGTGATGAACAAACACATACGTGCCTGAGCAGGCGCCAGCAACGGGGATTAGCTAAAAAGGATACAAGCAGTCAGCCATACTAACGAATTTAAAATATGTTTCTTGTTTAAACCAGATACTTATAGTATTCTGCTTCTTCTTAATTCTGCCGTGTCGGCCATAAAAGCTGTACCCGATGTCTTTCGCCGTAAAAGGTGAAAAAGACATCCTTCTTCATAAAAGATGTACAAAACGCCTTTCACCATAAAAGATGTACAAAACACATGTCTCCATAAAAAGATGTACCAGACGTCTTTCTCCATAAAAGGTGAAAAAGACATCCTTCTTCATAAAAGATATATAAAACGCATTTCACCATAAAATATATACCAGACACCTTTCCTCATGAAAATATGTAGAAGATACCTTTTCCTATAAAAGATGTACCAGACGTCTTTCCCCATAAAAGATGAAAAAGATATCTTTCTCCATAAAAATGTACAAGATGCCCCTCTCCATAAAAGATAAAAAGATACTATATGTGCTTATGTCTCTCCAAAAAAACGACACCTAAGGTTTAAAATGCATTTTTAAAATGAAAAATCTTTCTTGAAGATTTTAGTTTAGTTTTAATTCCAAGTTAACGGATTAAATTTCATATTCCTAATAAGCAAAATTCATTTGCTATATTTCAAACCAAATTTAAATTGTTTGGAATGATTCCGTTTTGAAATCGTTAAAATCGGCCATGTTGAAAAATATATCAACAGAATATAATTCTCTTCATCAAAAAATCTTTAAAAATAACATACTTTTCTGAAACTTTATTTAAGGAAGATTAACTGATTTAAAGAGGTACGGTTGAGTAATGGATAGCGGCAATCGGAGAGCCGAGTTCGTATTTCAGTCGAGTCCATTACATTCACTTAGGTGCTAATACCCTTGGGAAAGGTATGAACCCTCTTCTTCTCCCTCCACCCTCAGCTATGGGTAAATAGCAGGACAGACCGGGATCTATAGCTTTGGATGGCAACTGGTCTACCGCGGAAAGAAATGGCAACTTACTGCGGGAAAAAAATCTGCCTCGTCAGTCATGTATCGAAAGATACATGATCGCCTAAGCGTGTATCACGCATGGCACATAACTGACTGACCCTTGGGAAAGGTATGAATCCTCTTCTTCCCCCCTCCCAGCTATAGGTAAACAGCAGGGCAGACTGGGTTCTATAGCCTTGGATGGCAACTAGTCTACTGCAGAAAGAAATGGCAACTGACCCTTGGGAAAGGTATGAATCCTCTTCTTCCCCCCTCCCAGCTATAAGTAAACAGCAGGGCAGACTGGGTTCTATAGCCTTGGATGGCAACTAGTCTACTGCAGAAAGAAATGGCAACTTACTGCGGAAAAAATCTGCCTCGTCAGTCATGTATCGAAAGATACATGATCGCCTAAGCGTGTATCACGCATGGCACATAACTGATTAAACTGATTTAAAGTTTAATCTGAATCGAAACAAATACTGTGTAACCCGGATATAAGAGACCCGGATATAAGAGAAACCCGGATATAAGAGAGATTTTCTCTGGTCCCAAATTAGAGCCTGTGTTAATGTATATAAGATAGACCAAACCCGGATATAAGAGAAACCCAGATACAAGAGACTTCTTCTCCGGTCCCGACAACTCTCTTATATCCGGGTTACACTGTATTACTTACTTTTTGTTTAAAATATCGCAGAAAAGTATTTTTTTAAGATGGCGACGGGTATTTTTATGAGGCGTTGATTGATTTGGCTTAACGTGTGGTATTTTTAAGTAAAGAGTACATAACTGTAAAAATTACTTGACGAATACAACGTCAACCCTTTTTTAATATAATTTTAACTACCCAGTAATCTTAAAAATTTAGGAAAATATTCTAAGTCATCTAATGATTTTTTTTAAAATATTCGTAAGGCTATAAACTCAAAGTACCTAATACTTTGGTTTTATAGTCTTACTTATGAAGACACGTGCTAACAAAATGTTAGAAAATTACCAATGAATTTTAAATTTACTATAGTTACCGCATTTCTCTGATAATGTCGTGTATGGACATCCGTATTTATAAAAATCGGTGCGTTTAATAGGCACAAAAAAAATTCAAAATTGTTCTTAAAATATTGGAGGTTTTCTGAATTCTAGTAAGCTTTTCCCATTTATGATTAGTAAATATAGTTTTTACTTATTAACAATATCACGTAACCGCTACAAATTAAAACAAAATTTTAAAAGATTTAAAACTTTATAAATTGTTATAATTTAAAAAAAAAAAATTCAAAAAGACGGTAAAAATTTCTTACGGTTACCCGTTGACGCAAAAAAAACAAAAATTTTAACAAATTTTCCAAAAATTCAAAAAAAGATAAAAAAAATACAATTTCATAATCAAAAAATCCTTTGGTCTTTCCTTTTAATAATAGCATAAATATTTTTACGATAAAAATTTGTTTTTATAAGGTTTGGGATATTTTTTCATCATACATACATATTCATTTTTAGTGGAACTTCGAACTTTATATGCCTATACTAAATGAAAAAGACGTTTTTCTCTATAAAAGATAAAAAAAAAGATATCTTTCTCCGTAAAAAGATGCACAAAACACGATTTTCTATAAACAATTTGCAAAACATCCTTCGGCATAAGCGATAAAAAAACGTTTTTCTCTATAAAAGACGTACAAAACACCTTCCTCATAAAAGGTATAAAAACACCTTCCTCATAAAAGATGTACAAAACACCTTCCTCATAAAAGATGTACAAAACACCTTCCTCATAAAAGATGTACAAAACACCTTCCTCATAAAAGATGTACAAAACACCTTCCTCATAAAAGATGTACAAAACACCTTCCTCATAAAAGATGTACAAAATACCTTCCTCATAAAAGACGTACAAAATACCTTCCTCATAAAAGATGTACAAAACACCTTCCTCATAAAAGACGTACAAAACACCTTCCTCATAAAAGATGTACAAAATACCTTTCCCCATCAAAACTGTACCAGACACCTTTCTTCATAAAATATGTAAACGATGCCATTTTCCACAAAAGGTACACAAGGCACTTTTCCTTTTAAAAAAATAAGAATTTTAATTTATAAAATGATTGGTGCTGGAAGACAATAAGATAAATATATGAACGCCATGTTTTTCTCTTGAAATACTTAACCCTTTTCATAAAACTATATTTATTTCAGAAAAATAGATTTTAAAATTATTTGTTATTTTTTCTGGGTTGTTATTCTAAATATAAAACATTTGAGTGAGAAAAAAAAAAGGAAATCCTTTCAATGGAAAAAAAAAAGAGTAAGTTTCCAATTGCATTAAATGCCTTAAGTATATAAAATCATTTGTACAAATGATTTTAATTAATTTTGATAATTGTTACGCTAAATATAGATCAGACAAAATGCAATTTACCTACGGCAGTTTATATTGGATGCAAATATTAATTTCATTTCAAGAAGTAAGGTTAATAAAAAGTAACAACACTGAAGCAAAAAAGGAAAGAGAACATTCATTTTGGCTTGGGGTGTTCGTCCTGGTTTACGATATGAACCTCCGTCCACAGAAGCCACCCTCAATCCTACCCGCGAAATCATCACAGTCTGTCCCCACCAACTAACAGCTTTGGTTTGGGCTTGCATTCCTCCATACTAAAATTCAGGGAACAGGTTACTCGTGAGAAAGAGGTGCGTGGGACAAGGGCCGTAGAAAGAAAGCAAATAAAAAAAAAAAAAAAAATGAAAAGATCTCGCCCAATCCCCCCCCAAATCCAATAACCTGGTTGCTATGGAGATTTTGTTATTTGCAGGTAGGTAAAAAGGAAAGAGCGACACAGGAAACGGGGGCTTAGGACAGTCTTTACTTTTGCACGGAGGGGCAAGCGTGGTGGGGAGAAAATAAATGTGCGGGTAGTCGTACGTGTACGTAACCCCAAAGCTGCAAAGGTAACAATAAAGAGAAATTTAACATATCCACCTTGAAGAAATTTAGCAGAGCGGGGGATAAAGAAAGTAAAATAGTATATATATATATATATATATATATATATATATATAGGAGCGGTGTTTTGGATAAAAACGGAGAGTGAGTGAGTGAGTGAGAGTGGGAGAGAGAGTGTGTGTGTGTGTGTATGTATGAGAGAGAGTGAGGGGAGTCTGTATGAAGAGGCTTGAGACAGGAAAGAACGCTGATTTATAAAATGAAGAAAAGAAAGGTAAAAAATACGCCAGACATTGGAGAAAAAAGTAAAAGATAGACAAGAAGTCTTTGAAAAGAGAGAGAGAGAGAGAGAGAGAAAGAAAGAAAAGGAAAAATAAACTCATGAATTAAAAAAAAAACAGAGAGGGAAGGAAGAAAAAGTAAAGGAATGCGTTCAATAAAGATTGGAAAATAAAGGTAATCAGGAATAGAGAAAGAAAAGACATACGAAAAAAAGGGGAACAAACGGAAGAAGAAGAAGAAAAGGAGAAAGATAGTTTAAGGGAAAGAAAAAGAAGAAAAGAACAACGAAGGAACATAAAGATAAATGAATAAGCAAAGAGACGAAAAGAAGGAAAAGCTTTCAAGAGAAACCAAAGATAAAAAAAGAAGAAATGAAAGAAGGCCATTCCTGATTTTTTAAGTCTGAAAAAAAGTCAGAAATGGCGACAAGAAAATAAACGAAATGGCAAAGGATGGAATTAAAAAGAAAATAAATAATCCTTGCCCGAAAAGGACTAGAGAATTAAAAGGTTTGGAAGCTGAATTATTTTCCCCTTAAGTTTGTTCTTTTGTTATTTTCACCTCCTTAACCCTAACCTACCTGTCATCATCCAGACCTTGAACGTAACCACTGTAAAAGGCAACAGAATGGCTGCAATTTGAAAAGCTCAGCCTTTGATAAAGAACTATTTCGGATGTGTTCGTTTTGGTCACGACAGTGCTTGTTTTTTTTGTGTTGTTTTTTTTTTTTTTCGTTTTTTAATACCATGTCCTCTCCAGGCCTAGGTAATCCCTGCTTTTCACGGATTCCTATTGCTTTGTTTTCCGTGAATTGCCGAGTTCGAATTCCAGTCGAATTCATTATATTTACTGACGTGCTTATACCCTTGGGAAATGTATGACTCCAACACTTCTCGCCCCTCCAGCTATGGATAAATAGTAAGACAGACTGAGTTCTATAGCCTTGAGTGGCAACAGGTCTAGAAGAAGTATAACTGAATTCAAAACTATACATAGCACATACTATGGAGCTAAGGAAAGAATCGCTCGCATCGACTCGATGATCCCGACCACGGTCGACTCCTTGGGAAAGATAGTGGAGAGGTTTCCCGTTCCTTTCGTCAGTGTTTTGAGTTTAGAGTTTTCCTTATCCCAGATTAGCTACCATATCTGGCTAGAGGGCTCTTAGCTGAGACAAGAATGAATTCATTACTTTCCCAAGGGTATTAGTGCGAAAATGAACGTGGCAGATTAGGTTGGAATTTGAATCAAATAATGCTAGTAACCGTAACATTAACCACACATATTCTCCAGAGCCGAAAATGGAAAATTAAAACATTTTTGGTATTCAAATTCTTTCCTATCCTTCAGGTAGAAAATCCACAAAATTTGAGATATTTTTCTAATTTTGCGCTAATTTTTGAAAATAATTTTATATCTCGTTTACTTCAAATCTTTTGATTAAAAAAATCCACAACATACCTGTCTTCAGTAACAACTAGAGTTATTGAATTATAACATTAAAAAAATTATTTTTTCCGTAACCCACTGCAAGTATTTTAAAACAAAATAACCTTGTTAAAAATTTTACACTTAGCAAGCATTTAGATATATGAGCGCAGATAAAAAAAAAAAACTCAAAATATCGAATGCTTCATTTCCCGAGCAGGTCCTCTTCATTTGGAAGATTGGCAGAACATAATTTGCTGCATTCACGGCAGTCTGTACATTCGTAGAATTAGGCATATAAATTAAACAATCATTCAAACTTTTGCACGTACCTTTCTTTTCGTTAAACAGAAAAAAACGCTTGTTAAAGAATAAAAAAAGATTTAATAGCTATAATGAACAGTAGAGAATAAATTCAGCTGAAAAGAGTTGGGACGGGTAGCTTTATTGAGTAAAGTGGGACATTTGTTTAAAAGGGTGGCTGTGAAGAACGAGCAAGATATATTGTAATGTGTAGGATTACCCCTACCTTTCTCTACCAACGTTCCTTATAAGAAAACATTCGGTATTCGAGCAACTAGTGTTGGTTTAAATTTATAAAACTTTTATCTTAAAACAATTTTTTTAGAAAAATAGGTTTCAGAGGTTCAGTAACTGTTATCGCTCTTTCAACCACTGATGGGGGTTTCCTTCCTAACCTTTTGTTTGAAGTAGTGTGGAACATCTACATCTTGAATATGTCATTATTTTTTTACAGTAAGTTAAAAAAAAAAAATGATGATTTAAATTCTCCAAGAGTTCTGCGTAATATAAATATTATGCAATACAAAAATTAATTTTTCGAAATTTCATAAAATGAAATAAGTGGTCCGCAACAGATGTTAAAAAAATTAATTTTTTCTAAAAAAGAAATATTATTTTCATTTCCTTCATTTCTGAATAAGTCCTAAAAATTTATTTAAAATCTGACAAGAGTTTGATTTTTGCAAGATTTTTTAACCAAAATTTTGAACGTTCTAAAAATATCCAAAAAATCCTTTGGTCTTTCCTCTTAATAATAACATTGAGATTTCGACGATAAAACTTTATTTTTATTAGGTTTGGAGAATTTTTTCATCATGGTATGCTCATTTTTTAGCGAATTAGTGGAGACACCTAAATTAAAGCATTTAGGGCACATAGACGTAGTGTAATGTTAGCAATCGTGCTTTGCGAGATCGATTTTGGCTGATTTTGAATCTCACAGTGTGCTCTATACTTTCGGCGATGTTCCACATGTAATGTTCGCTTTGTAAACTGCTTTGGGCGCTTTGACGTAGTGTAAATGGTTAGCAAATTTGTCTTGCAAAATCAGTTACGACTGAGCAGCGAGTTTGATTGTCACCGAGTGTTTCATATTTTCGGTGTTGTGCCACATGCAAACTATGTTTAGTTACGCACTTTGGGCACCTCGAGGGGGTGTAATGGTTAGCAAGCTTGTTTCGCTAGATAAATTTGCGACTGAGTAGTGAGTTCGATCCTCACTGGGTGCTTCATACTTTCGACCTTGTGTCACTGCTAGGCTTAGTAATATAATTTCTGTGAAGAGAAATGCGCTGGTATGTTTCAGTTTATATAGGAAAATAATTTCGACCAATAAGCTCTTAGAGACGGGGGAAAATGTCCTTGTTTTGGCTTTCAGATAAATTTCCTTCCATTTATATTCCTTCGCAAGAAATCGAAATAATTCTTCGCTTCTCTCACTTTGATTTCCTCATAGCTTCTTCGGATGTTTTCTGATAATTCACCTCAAAATAAAAAGACTTTATATTTACTAAAATTCACACCAAATTCTTCCCCAGCGAGGTCCTTCTATTGTAGTCCGGTTGGGGTATTCTTTGAAGCTGAGGAATTTTAATGTCAAGACATTTGTAGCGGACGCGGTTAACATTTGTGAAGGGAAAAGGTTGCTGTCTTTCAATATAAACGATTTCAACATTTTCTAAAGAAATGAATTCAACTCGTACGTGGTTTTCATATATTTATATAAAAAACAATATATATATATATATATATATATATATATATATATATATATATATATATATATATATAAAGAAAGAACAGTAAGATATATAATCCGGTGTTCTTATTGATATTTTTTAATTTTACACAACAGTGCTCAAAGTAAATTTACAGAGCATAAATATTATAAATTAACTGATTTAAAATATGGTTTCTTCACTACACAGTAATAACCATGTTTCAAAAACTGAAGCTAAAAACTTCAAATTTAATTATGTAATTAAATTAAAAGCATTAGTTCTGTTTCATCTTCAAGCGAATTTTGGAATTTTGTTTTGAAAAAACAATATAGCTTACAAAATGGAGAGAAATCTCTCCCACCGTCTAGTATTATCAAGTTTGGAACGTTTTGTTTTACGGCATATCAACCTCAATGGGTTATTTAATGCCGACAACATTTTTATTGCTGGTAATGTGTTTTTCTACAAAAATCTATTTCTGGGAATATTTTTCCTTGAAGAAATCTATAGCTGGTCATATTTTTTTCAAAGAATATATAACTGGTATTTTTGCTGGTATTTTTGTAAAAGTATTGCTGATAATAATTTTTCCTTCAAAAATTATTGATGGTAATATTCTTTTCATTACAAATATTTCTGGTATTAAAACCTATTTTTACACAAGTTAACTATTCGCCCATAGCTGGGACCCTAGCAGGTGCTACCACACCGGATTAGGGTGGACCTTGGAACACCAGCAATTAAAAGCTACGCTTAGGGTGGACCTTGGAACACCAGCAATTAAAAAGCTACGCTCCTCAAAATCTCCTGATAAGAGGCCTTGTTGTTGGACGTAGTTTATCGTCTTTCCCAGGACGCGGATGTAGCTTATCGTCTTACCCAGGACGAGCGACTATTATTAGATACGGATTCTACCTACCACATCCTGTGACTGAATGAGCAAAAGAAAGAGAGGGGGGTATGTTCCTTCCCTTTATAGTCTTGAATATAACGTGAGTAGTGTTTTAAGCGAAGTCCATACCAAGAAATTGGACTCAAAATAAACATTTGAAAAGCAGAAACTATGATCTAGAATTGGAATGAAAGCAGTGATACCATATACCACGAATCTATAATAAGAATTCAGAATAAATGAATACTAAATACTTCAAATACCGCGGTGTATGGATCAATTATAACAAATTTGGAGGCACGGTGGAGTAATGGATAGCGGCTCGGATTGAGGAACCGGAGAGCAGTTCGAATTCCAGTCGAATCCATTACATTCACTTTGGGAAAGGTATGAATTCTCTTATTCTCCCCCCAGCTATGGGTAAATAGCGGGACAGACCGGATTCTATAGCTTTGGATGACAGGACAGACCGGCTTCTATAACCGCAGAAAGAAATGGCCCATAACTGACTGTTTGCAACAAAAATTCATAGTAAATCGATTCAACCTCTAAAAAAACGTTTCCTGACAATGTTACGGTCACATATTCGACAAATTTCAAAGTTAGGGAGTCCTAGATCCATTACATTCACTTACGTACTAATAGCCTGGGGAAAGGTATGAATCCTCTTCTCCCACCAGCTATGGGTAAATAGCCGGACAGACCGGGTTCTATAGCCTTAGATGGCAACTGGTCTACCGTAGAAAGAAATGGCAACCTACTGTGCGAAAAAAATCTGCCTCGTCAGTCATGTATCGAAAGATACATGATCACCTAAGCGTGTATCACGCATGGCACATAACTGACTGACTGACCCTTGTGAAAGGTATGAATCCTCTTCTCCCCCTCCTCCCAGGTATGGGTAAATAGCTGGACAGATTGGGTTCTATAGCTTTGGATGGCAACTGGTCTACTGCAGAAAGAAATGTCAAACTACTGCGGGGAAAAAATCTGCCTCGCCAGTCTTGTATCGAAAGATACATGATCGCCTAAGCGTGTGTCA